GTTTGCCTTCAAAAAGGTAGGACTTAATTGAAAAAAACGCGTACAATTTTGCCGTTGAAAACTCCTAAACACTCCGAAGAATTGAACCCCTATCAACGAAATATAGCGAAAAAAAAGCGAAAAGAAATAGAAGCGAAAATGTTCAAAGGACGAATCATATCACCCACGTAGCGTACCACCAGAGCTTCTTCTCTCTCAGGCGCAAAGGTTTACGATTACGAGCTTCTGTCAATAGGATGTCCTTTCCAATCTGCGAGGGTGCTGAGGTACTGCCTGCATTCACATCTTCCAGAAGCCTTTTGAAGAGGACAACAAGGAGGGAAGAGAGAAAGAGAGAAGGGAAAGAAGAGAGGGGGAAGGAAACGAAGAGAGTTAGGCTTGACGATTGGCAGATAGACGCTGATTTCCTGACTCGTAATAGTTCTTTTTTTGTAGTTCCCAGCTGGGAATAATGTTTTGGAAAACAAAAAGCTGAAAGATGGCGTAAACATAAAGACGAGTCAATAATGAGCGGCTCGTTGGACTCTCCTGGAACACATTCTAGCATGATTATAGAACTGTTGAAGCTGTTGTTACTGTTCGACTTAGGAATGCATAGCGCCCATTCGCCAGTACCTGCTGTTAGTACTTGAGCGGAAACCGGAATGCGGAAGAGCTGTACCAAAGAGGTTGCCCACCTACCTCACCAGTCATGATAGAAACACCAAGACATAGTGCTCTACTGAATGTGCGGAAAGCGATTTCCAGACGTTTGGCTTGGAGGGACATTTTTTCACTTTGACTAGACCTTTCTGTAAGTTCATGTTAACCAACAGGTCTCACTTTGATCAAATATGTGAACTCTTGTGTAGCTTCAAAATTATACAAGCGAGCCACTTTGAACAGAAAATCCAGTCTTCACAAGGCAAGGCATTATGGTTACCCTACCTGGACCAGTCCGAATTGAGGCAACAGTACAGGATATCCTAGTGGAAACAGGTTTTTCTCTTGAGTTTTGGTTTTTGAATAAATGAGTGGGCAAAAACTATTGGAGCACTTTCTGACATCGCCATGTTACATTTCCACAGAATTCTTATGCAACCTTACAAACAATAGTCTTTTGTGTCTTTCCCCACGTAAGTACGAAAAAATTTCACAGACTCGTAGCAAGTCGCACTACTGAACGCAACGACCTATTGGCATTCTTGTTCTGAACAATCTGATAGAGCGGCCGGTCCAAAATGAGAAAATTAGGTTTTCCTATGGTAGTACCATCGACCTCAATCGTATAGTTTCGACCAGATTCTCCGATTTGTGGCTCGAGACCGGTTACAAAAAGACGTACCTGTTCGGAGACGCAGGTTTACGAATTTCAAAGCGCAAAAAGATTGATCGAAATCAAACAACGTAATGCCTTTTCCATGTCCTACCAAATAATGACCAGAACTATTTCAAACTAGAAACCACTTTGCTTTTTCGAGAACACCTTTAGAAGAAAACCCAACAAAATCAGGCGTGCAGTCAGATAAATCTACATGAATGTAACAACATCCTTTCCTATCTATAATTACCTTTGTCGTTTGTTTACGGCATTCCAATCGTTTGTATGACCTCTGCCTCGGTAACGCATGCCAGAGGCGGACCCATGAGCAACACTTAATGCGTGTAATTATGCCAATGGCATAGCCTTTATGAGTAGCATCTGCTCTCGGATACTTCACTCTGTTAGCCGCGTTAGAGCGCTTTTTGAGTATCTTTATATTTCCTCCACGGCAGAGATACAGAAATACTGTGATGAACAACTGGGGAAAAGTTCGGTAACAGTTGGGTCAAGAAAAGGGTCATGACGACATGCTGACGCTGAAATTCCTTGTATGTGACGTGAGGCTTTCCGCATGGTCCTCTATAACGCTTTGCACATGGAAAATCAGCTGATAACCAGCTAACTGCAGGATCTCTAACCAGGGAAGTCATCACCTTACCATGGAACTTTGAATGGAGACCTAATTAGGAGCAGACAGAAAAGGATGTGTCTGTCGACAGGGTCTCTAATAAGTTTACAACTATGAAAGGCAAAAATGCTACCTGCATCTCACAGGCGAGTTATGAGTAGGCAAAACCCCTAAATTTGCTTAGGACTGGCCTGTAGCGCGGATGCTCCGCGTTTTTAACTGGAATGGGTGTGATATCCGTGTTCAGAAGTCGAACTACCCCTAGGTACGATGTTCAGCCAAATCAAGACTATGACCAAACTTCGAAATATTTCCCCCAAAGGGGATAGTTTCGAACAGCTTCTCATTCCGCAACTACTGATCCATTTCATGGCGAATTTTATGCGGTCGAAGAACATAACCGTGACGGAAGGAGAGTGGGGCATAACGCTCGCAGACCAATTATGAGCCGATTACCCAGTTTGTAATGAAGTTAATGGCACTGTCGAAACTAAATGTGCAGTCGAAAGGCTGTGGGCCATGAAGGTGCCCCAGTTGCGCTGCAACTGTCCTATGTATGACGCCTGTTATGTCAAGTACTTGATCTGCTCTCGCTTATACAGTGCTACTTCGAAAGAATATCAAAAAATGGGATAAGGGATTACATGGGTGATAAAGCAGATGTTGCGCAGCGGCAGGTACCGAACCCAGTTAATATCGATCCTCAACCGATGGACATGCCATTGCGCTACAGCCATTCTTGTGGCTCTATCAAGCGGAACTCTTTATGTGTCATGAGTTGATGCATGAAAATAGCATCGTTCAAATTAAGAGCTTACAACTCGCATTTAACGAAATGCAGGTATGTTTGGTTACATAGTACTTTGTAAACAATTTTACCATGCCTCTACTGATGTACTATTCTTTATCAAAGTTTATGAGTGCGGACCTCTCCCGTAAACATCAACATATTCGGCATTAGAAGATCACTTTGCGTACAGTTTGTATAAACATCTTTTCCATAGAAATCATAGATTCCATTGACCTCCGATCTCCTCGTCTCAAGATCGCTAAGGACAAAAAACTAACCCTTTGACCACATATGCGCTACTAGCCTTCGGGTGGGGGGAAGTTATTCATTGAGTTCTTTCAGATACAGAGCACTGTGTGCAATTACTTTGAATGGTACAGACTTTTTGTATCCTCAGTGAAGATAGCGATTCTCACCTTTATTATGTCAAACCATATCACAACGCTGTAACCCGTCGCTGCAATAAGTTCTAAAGAAAAATCTTAGAAGAAAGCCTGAAATTGTAAAAAAGTTCACTCCACTGAAACTTGAGCGTCCACTTATCTTGCTCTTCATTCCACCGATTCCGCTAAAGAAGCACCTGAAGCGGTTTTTGCACTCTTCCGTTGTCACTTCAATCTCTATGGTCACTATTTACAACCCCACGTTAATCGGCTATGAATCGGTACCTACAATTAAAGTATGGAATAACGGTTATCAACTATGGGGCAGTAAGTACTTTCCACAAATCCTTGTCCAAATTACGCTTCCCTGAAACAATCTTTGTCCACAGCAGTGGCTGACATGTATTCCATTTCGATTTTAAGAAAATTCATAATGTAATTTCGAGCAACAACTCACAGCAAATATCGCCCCGCCTCAACAACCCAATGGTGTCAAGCGTTGTAGTTATGGCGAAATAGCGCAGCAAGCGTGACATAATCAACATCTGCATCAGGAACAACACTCTTGTATGAGCACGGGTACAAAGCGCATCGACTTCCCTTACGTCAATCGCACAGCTTTGAAATGGAGTAACCTCCACATCTCAATTAAACTTTTTCTTTCGGCCCCGGTTCTAAGCACCCCCCCGCCCTCCACTTCTAAACCTGCACAAAACACGCTGATTGAAAAAATTGCAAATCAGCGAACTTCTCGAGAAGCTATCCTCGCATGAACACTCCCCCCCTCACCTTTTCATCTTAAAAATCTCATCGACTTCTATAGTTTCCACTACTACCCTTTCGAATTTTCCCTCGGAATACCCATGCACTTTTCTCAAAAAACCTAACTCGTCAGGAGTGACGAGGAGGAGAAGGGGTGGATGGGGGGGGAAGAATACACACAAACGAGAACAAAACTTATAATTCAGTAATCCGAACTTCCTGTAGAAAACAAGTGAATCTTGCTCAGCCACCAAATACTACGAGTCTCACCGTCACCCCCCCCCCCCCCCCGCCTGTGACCCATTACTCTGTTTTAATAACAGCGTCAACAACCTGCTTCCACCTTTTCCATTCCAAAAAACTCACCGAGGATCGTCACAAAAAACTCTAGAAACTTCAGGAATCCTCGTTCAGCAGGCATGTGGCGCTTGGATTTCGAACTAGCTATCACAGAATCTCCTCGATAGCCAACATGGGTGATGAAAGTATACGGTTCGTTAGCGGCCGCACCTGAACGCTCTACTCCTACGGCGAGTAACAAACTGTAGAAGTACTCAAACGCCCCAAGGTCGCATTTCACAATTGCTAACATCAACGTAATCGAAAGATTTATAAGTACCCGTAATATGTAGCATTCAACTACAAAGCATGACTAAAATGGAATACAGTAACAGTACATAAAATTAGAGAGTTGAAAAATGAATAAAGCCATAACCCGGTCTATGGAGCAAGAAAAAAATATGCATTGAAACTTAATATTTAGAATATAAATGTCATATCACTGAAGGAAGAGGTATATTAATGTGTCACCAATGGTAAAAAGGACAACCGGGAAGAGATTTTTCAAGCGGGCAAGCAATTAAAAGCCGTACTTAGCAGAAAAAAACAACAGAAATAATGCCTGGACTCATTTCAGACAAATAACCCGTCGATAAAAAATAAGAGGCGAGGAAAAAAGACAATACGCGACCAAGCAGAGAAACAAGCATTCGAAAACGAAGGAAACACCGTCTTTCAAACTACGTTACGTATCGCGTCTCATATTATGACTACAGCGAGAACAACTAGAAATTGTGGAGAAAATAAGGCAAACACATATTTTCGCAGATATGCTCAAAACTAAGATGAACCTGCTCACAAACCCTCTTTTCGAAGCCCGTTAGAAGCAATATGAACTGAGGATTGCATCAATTCTTGCAATTCAGGGATCATATGAGCGGTTTTATTCAGCGGGTACGTATTTGCAAGACAGAGTGCGTGGTCACGTATGTCTCCCCATCCGCCATTTTCTTTCGAAGGCTTCGGAGACCGTAATGATACCTGTAATACATTTGTCTTGACAAATATCCAACATCGTCGCGTATCCGTCATCATCGTGGTTAAAGTCTGCTTCGCCATGGATGCTGTGGCGTGTCAGGGGTTGGGTACGAGGCGCCACAAATTGTTGTCGCTTGCTCCGCTTGAACATTTGGTGGAGCACTAGCTGGCGCCGCGCCAAACCAACCTCTTGGCCGCGCTTCAGCATTTGCAGCGAACAAGGCTGTATACTGATTTTTCGCTTTGAACTGAACACAAGTCTTCAGGGGCAATCAGGATGACAAAAACTTGAGAGTACCCGCTTTTTTCGTGCCTTCTCTTTTACATGATCTACAACGCGTGCGAGAAACAAGGGCGGATTTTCGCGGCTGCCGCCCTGCATTTATTCAAACCATTAGAACTTTGTCCATTCGCGGCAAAACCCTAAAGAAGTTCTTGCCGTCACGCAACCCCCGCCTGTTTGCTAGCAGGTTCTTGGGCTGGCGAATTGGGCTGGGAGACAGGGGACCTAGTAAGAAGTAAGAAAATTTCCACGCCTTCCCCCCTCCCTCATCTTTTTACTCTGAATCCACAATTCCCGAACAGTACGCTTCCATTCACAAAAGGCAAAAACGGGCAACGAAATAGCAAACGTTAAAGAGTAAAGCAAAAATCATATCAGTTAACTGCACATGCCAGTAAACATCGCTTGACGAGGAAACAAGACATTTGACAGTCTATGCGGTTCATGTAATTTTGGAAGTTTGACAAACTTCGATGGCTGCCCTTATATGATGCCGTCGCAATCAGAGGGGGCGGTGTCAGAAGGCGTGGAATAAGCCCACCTTGGCTGCATTTTCTATCGATGGTGATCGATTCAGGAAGAAAACAACCATAGAAAACGCCGCGAGTGGGGTCATCCACGGGTCTCCTGACAATGCCCCTCTGACTGAGTAGATAACGATAAAAGAAAAGTCTAAGCCGTTTACTATTCCATTTTTGGGATGCGGTACGCATTCTATTACCAGTCAGAACCGTAGTGGCTTATTGAATGCAAAGTTGCCACCCCAATGACTTTCGAGCAACAAGTAAGTCTTAACTTCCAAGAAAAATTTAGAATCAATTCATCGTCCCGGAGGGTAGAAGGCTTGGTTGGTCTGGTCGGGAGCCTGTACGAGATTTGATTCTCGGACCGGAGGGGGCGGGAGTAAGCGTGCCACTTGTCACTGCACCACCTCCGCCTCACTGCGGCAATATTAACTGCAACTTGCAACGCAGAGGTCCGAAAAGGTCATAAACGCCTTCCTGAAGCGGACTGTTCTAAGAACATTCAAAACGGAAAAAAAGAAAAATACGTACATCGGTGACGGTGAGCCGTAATGGAAAGAAGGATTTTGCGTGTTTTGCCAAGACCGCTCGTGTTGATGTATACGTGTCGTGGGCATTGCATCTGAAATTTTTAGGTTCAGAATTTCGGAAGAAAGCAAACAACTGAAAGAGACAATGCTAGACGACCAAGCATTATCACCTGTGCGTATGAAGACCACAATCGCCAATATGGATAACTCTAGGACTTTTTGTGAATATCACTCGGAAGCGTTGTGGGAGGCATCGTACAACGACCTATAAGAGGCATTTATACAGTCAAAATAAGCTTGATAAGACAACTCGTACCTGCATCAGTGACCAGTCCCAGTTGTAGTCATCATAATTGCAGAAGAGCTAAAACCCACAGAATCAAAGACAGAACAATAAATTCGCCGTGACGCGCGTTTACACTTCGCGATCTGATCGGTTGGACCACGCGATCGCATCGAAAAGTATGAACACGCTCGCAGTTTGCCAAGGGGACAATCGACGACTCGGGAGAATGCCCGGGAAAAGCAATCGCATCGATTTGGAGAGTGCATGTTTTGGGAGGAGCGACAAATTGTTTAGATCAATTTCTATCTATTCCCCTGTCCCCAATACCCACGAATCGCAGATTCTCCGGACCAATTATACTTTTTTTCGGGCATCACGGAGACCAAATCGCCTGAGTCACGGATTCTTCACCTTTTCAATCGCCTGAGTCACAGATTCTTCACCTTTTCAAACTGCAAAGGCAGTCATAGTTTCGGAGTGGACTGAAGATGTTGGTGGGGAATGAAGCGAAAGGTAGTACAATGGCAAGATAGTAAGGCAGAAGTACCAGTATTTCCCTTCATCTCACCCAGAAAACCAGATATTTATGGTGTAAATAAATAAATAAATAAATAAATAAATAAATATCCGACGCACGGCACAACCTGCGTTGGGATCCCTATCGAAGGGGTTCGTATTTGGTCGCTGGAGGAAGGGAGGGGGTCGTAGCTGTCTCTATGGAGGATGTTTTCGGTTGTTGATTTTTCTCGGCTTTATACGGTTCACGTGCTCGGAAAAAAAAACTGGAGAGCTCTGGGAGAAGAAGTTCCCGGAAAATCGGAAGGATGGCAGGAATTTCAGAAAGTTTGGGAAATTCAGGGAGGTTTACGTAGGATGGGTACGGGGTTGTACCAAAGGAAATTTCAAGGGAGGGGGGGGGGTGCGAAATTCTTCCTCGACAGGACGCAGGACGTGTCGTGAACCCAGGACACGATAGCCTGCAGAGGGTTAAAAGCTTGTGACCCGATGGTAGAAAACAATCGTAAAAAAAGCAGTTGGAAACAATTATACTTACTTCAGCACAGGCTTTCACTTTCATCCAAGTCTCACGTCGAAAGGCCATTCCCATATTATGCTTCGAGCTATACCAAGGATGCGCTCCAAGTTTTGCAATATTTGGTCCATAAGCTGTGAACGATTTAAGGTAGAAACCCAACGAGATGATTTCACATTTCTCGCAGTACCTTAAAAGACCTCTGTTAAGAAAAAAAAACGAAAAATCGGAAAAGTAAACCAAGTACTGAATTCTAAAGAACAACGTATTTAGTTCTGTGATAGATTTCCCTGCCGATTCCCTCAACAAACTTCCAAAATGAGCCTCCTACGAGCATAAAGGGCCCTAGATAGCAACAGAATATTGGCAGTACTTGGACGTCGGGTCGGGCAAGTCGCTATGTGAATGTAGAGGCCCCAAATTCTGCCCCAGTACGTCACAGGATAACATGAGCACACAGGCGAATATCACACATGCAAACTTGATACTAAGGTGGATGTGGTGAGCTTTCGATCCAACAAATACTTAATAGAACCTACGTTTCTCTATTCGCTATGATATTATGCAGAACATGTAGTGCATCTGGTACAACATAGTGATCTTCTTCAAGCAAAAGGACCCATGCATCAGTGAGACCGTATCGATCGAACACTCCGTCAAAGACGTAATTCATCTAAATTATAGCACAAATAAAGTCAACAACAGGGATGATGATAATAGCCTTCATAGCATTAAAAGACAGTCCCCACTCTCAACTGATTCACAGTTCTTCCTTGTTTAAGTAGTCTGGCCTACATTCTCCTACGACTGTCCCTTTCTCGTGGCTGCACAGTCGGTAACGAAAGCGCTGCGGCTCTCATAAGTGGCAGTTCTGACGCCACTTAGTTGTCCCGCCCACCGAATTCCAAGGCTATTTCCTGCCACAAGTTCAGTTTTTACACCGTGTTCTTCACTTTTTCTCCCATACATAGATGTTATTAGCATTGGATGACGCGAAGACACTAGTATCGAGGCAGAGACGGCAGGGTCTTGCTTTGCTGGCATAAAACGAGCAGGCCCGGAGAACTCCTCCGGAGACACCGCCAAATCCTCACTCACGGTGTTCTCCATAACTTTTTTCGCTTTTCTCTTTCCCGTAGAGTCACTTATAGAGACTAGGGGTTTGTAATTGAACGCCGCTATCCACAATATGCAATCGAGTGCTTTGTCTTCAAGAGAACAAATGTTGCGACAATAACAACAGGGCGAACACCTCAAAAAAATAACATAACATCCCACATCAATCATGTAGCGATGCCACAAGGCGAGGGACAGCAATGAGCAGCACTTCATTCTCTCCGAAAGAAACCAAAAATTTGATGACTAATGTCCCCCTGATGTGAAAATGCTCAATAACGAGCTTTCTAGTTGAAGCCTCCTTAACTACAGAGACAGAAGCACTTTTCTGATTTATCTTCACTCGAACCTTTCACAGAATGGGTTACAATGGGACAGAGGGGGAAGGGGGTCGGGGGAGGGTACTGAGGACTTCTTACCTTCCACCACCAATGATGCTTGACTTGCGTAAGCTTTGCCACTCTGTAGTTGCCATATTTATCAGGATGTTCAGCATTTTTGCATTTCGAAGCTAATGCTCTGAAAAAAAAACCATGAATAGCAACCTCTACATGTATCTAACAAAACGAAAACCTACGCGTTCTTTCCCATCTTTTCCGGACAATCTTTTGGATCTTGGCCAGGGAAAACATGTGGAAATATTTGCATATTATACGGATAATATATTTGAAGAACCTGAAAAAGGGGCATACAATCGGCTCCTAAGTAGTTGGCAATACTGAACTGATGCCATTTCATCTCAACAGTAACATCAGAAGAGCGATTTGGCCTTCTAACCTCACAATCAAAGAAAACGTGCATTCAAAGCAAAAGTGATGTTAGAGTTTGGATCAATAGTCTTCCAGTCGTGGAACTTCATTGAGAACGACCCAAAGAAAATGAGAGGATGGGGCTTGCATAAGCCAAAGGGATGGAACTCTGTGGCGGGTTCCATTGGTAAAGCCGTACCCCATCCGTGAGGAAAAAAGCGTATTACCTCCCCTTAACGTTCACAATAAGACAGAATTTTCGTCGCTGGCAACATCCACTTCTAAATGGGTACTCTGCTGGACTGGGCAAGGAAATTAAGGATAAAGTTGTTGTAAGAATAAAGTGCTCGGCGTTGGCTAATACCTTGTTGGAATGCGGCACGCATTCTCTCTCCATTCAGAATCCAGTGACTTTTTGGATGCCATGCGGCGTTCAGACTTGTCGCGCTTGAACGCGCGTTGACTGTCGCTCCAACTGTACCAGACTCCCCGCCTTCCCTTCTTTCGTTTCTTTTCTTTTTCTTTCTTTCGCTATTCTACCCCTTTTTCACTGTTTCTCATTTCTGCCTGATTCTTAGCTCTTTTTCTCTTTACAGTGAATTTGAATGCAGTTTTGAGGTTATTGATGACGTTTTGAGTATTTTTTTGAGTTTTTGACAACGAGTTTTTTTTGAAACGATATACAAAATCAGTATTACAGTGTCCATCAGTGTGTATCAAAACCTACATCAAAATTCGATGTCAAAGTGAAAAAGAGGAGCTAAGAATCAGGTAGAAATGAGAAACAGTGAAAAAGGGGTTGAATACCGGAAGAAAGAACATAAAGGGAAGCTGGGGTCTGGTACAATTGGAGCGCGCTTGTAATTGTAGCGTGTTCAGTTACAAGCGACAGCGACAATTGAAGCGCGACAATCAACGCGCGTTCAAGCGCGACAATCAACGCGCGTCCAAGCGCGACAACTCTGAACGCTGCCTAAGTCAGCTTTTATCCTCCCAGACGAATCTGGAACCACTTTACCTTCTCCGGAGAAAGGAAGGCTTACTTGGCGTAGGTGTGAGCCTACGCGAACTAAGCCTTTCTTCCTACGGAGGTGGTAAATTGACCTCAGCGTGGTAAGTGGGCCCTCTGCCTCATTGGAACACACATAGTGCACCGAATGGAGCTCTCGTTTCATAGCTCTATAAAAATTTGCAGATCTCTACAAAATCGCCCGGAAAACTGGCAAGAATCGACAAAATGTTTTCCTATAGCAAACCATGTGGCT